ACCTTATAAAGTCATTAAAAGAGGTGTCAAGTATTATACACTCAGAATTAATAATAATGACATTAATATTTCTATTGATCGATTGAAACCAGCCTTTCTGGATAAAGAGCTACAAGCACCAGATGATTCACCTATACAATCTCCTTCCCCCACTCAATCTCCTCCTCCCTCTCCTTCCTCTAGTTCTTCACTTCCTCCTACTGGTACAGCAGAGAAGACTACTCGATCAGGCCGTAAGGTCCATTGGCCCAAACACTTGGCCACATATTATTAAGTATTATCGTTCGTATACTCACTGGGGGGGAGTACTGTGGTGTGCACTTTGACCTCACGTGGGGAAGACTATAAAATGCTAAAAAAATAATGATTAACTTAACTGGTCTCTCACTCTCTCGTTCCCAACTCACTCTCTCTCTCTCTCGACTCTCTTCCATTCTTCACTCGATTTAACTACTGCTAGAGCTGCCGCAGTCCATACAGTATCTCCCTGAACTGTTACACTGATAGACAGGTTATCTCTGATTCTCACATTATTATTATTATTGTTTTTGTAACATTATCATTTGGTGTACTCATTTCTCTCCTTTCTTCTCAATCTTCTTCTTTCCCTCTTACTCTCTTTTGCATACATCAATCATACAACTTTTGTGAAGAGATATTATTTTTAACTGTCAGGTGAACTCAATAGGAACCTCCACAGAGTGTTCCCTAGTTTCTTCTCAAGGAGGAGTATTCCTTCATTTATATAATCCAACATCTGACAGTCACAGTTGCAGAAATACAAGTATCTCACAATCATTGAAAATGTCAAATAACTAAAAATAAAGGCGTAAGCCATGTAAGTACGCAACATCAGCTTAAATTTTAAATTTTTACCGTAAAACTGGTTTAACTGGAAGATATTTTTGCTTCTTTATTGGGCACACTTGAGTCTCTATAACTTCTATTGCAACACTAGGCTCCATCATTGACTCATCACCCACTGAGCAGCTATTTGTTACTTGGAAAGGATTGAGAGTTAGAGCTTTAGAGAAGAGTCCTTTGAGTTTTATTACTGGCACAAATGGAAAGGAATTTGTCACAGAAAAAAGACGTTTCGTTGCTACAAAATATTATGTAAATAATCAGTTCAGTTCAGGAGCGACATCATGTAAAGATGGGGCACTGTATTACTGGTGAGATTGCTATAGGTTTTGCTTATTTCAAAAATTGGCTTTTAAAAAGGTCATGCCTCGAAAAGCATTTGTCGGAAACAACTCAAACTTTCTACATAGCATATGGACATCACTACGTATCAGAAAATGTAACAAAAATTTGGGTTGATTTCAGAGCCATTTTTTGGAAAAACCATGGGCTATACCTTGGGTATTTTTCAGATTTTTTGCATTTTCTTATAATGGCCGTAACTTAAAAAATTGAAGTTGGAATTAGCTCAAACTTGCTACAGCGCATAAGGACATCAATATGTATCAAAAAAGTGTAATAAAAATTTGGGGTGATTCCGGAGCCATTTTTTGAAAAA